GGTAGGGTGGGGTGGGGGGTTAGGGGATGATAGCGGAGGGGGAGGAGGGGGGGGGCTCGATTCTACAGCATCCGGGCACTCGAGATATCAATGGCCGGGCGTTCAGCTGATGCTCGTTATGGGTGTTGTGTGTTGCGCACTACTCAACGTATATTGGAGGATCAACTCATCGGTATATATGCCTTGCTTTCTATTGAGCAATGCGTTCTGGGCCACATCAGCGCCGGCTCGTGCAGGGGAACACATGTGCATGCAAGTGCGCACGGCAGCACGCATACGCAGGCCAGCAGACGTACAAATACAACTACGCGATTATTGATACTTAGATATACCGATAGACACACTCGCACGCACACACACACACACACACAGGGGAACACATAAATACACATACACAGACACGCACACACACACGAACACACAGGGGAACACATACATACACATACACAGACACGCACACACACACACACACACACAAACACAGGGGAACACATACATACATACACACACACACACACACACACACACACACACACACACACACACACACACACACACACACACACACACATACACAAACACAGGGGAACACATACATACACATACACAGACACGCACGCACACACACACGCACAGCCACTTATCCCCGATATATAAAGCACCAACAAAAAAATTTCCTTCAGAGAACCTGTTACTTCTTCACAGAACTCGCCCAAGGAATCATGACGAATGGCGCAGTTAGACGGAAAGGTTATCTCTCGCTCACTTCTCTTTCTCTCTCTTAATATTTCTCTCTTTCATATCCTCTCGCAAGAAATGACAACGAGACGTAGACTGAATAAATTATATTGTTTTTGTTCAGGAGAGAAGTTATTGTTGTGAAGGATTTTGTGAAACGTTCGGTTCCGTAGCTGTTTGTTTATTTATCCATTGTATCTAATTATCTTTTCTTATTAAAAAAAAGAAAAAAAAATGTGTCTTTGCTTCTCTTTGTTTTCAGTCTGCTACTTCTTGTTCTTTTTTGTTGAGTTCCGTATCTTTATCATCATTATCATCATCATTGCTATTTATCCATTACTATGACTAAATGTACTAACCACCATTTCCATTTCTAGCATTATAGACTAGTCATACTCCACTCTTATTCCTTTAAAAAAAATCCTAAACATAATAAAAACAAAACCAGTGATCCGTACCCCAAAAGGTGCCCTCTCCCTCTCCCTCCCCTCTCCCTCTCCCTCTCCCTCTCCCTCTCCCTCTCCCTCTTCCCTCTCCCTCTCCCTCTCCCTCTCCCTCTCCCTCTCCTCTCCCTCTCCCTCTTCCCTCTCCCTCTCCCTCTCCCTCTCCCTCTCCTCTCCCTCTCCCTCTTCCCTCTCCCTCTCCCTCTCCCTCTCCCTCTCCCTCTCCCTCCCCTCTCCCTCTCCCTCTCCCTCTCCCTCTCCCTCTCCCTCTCCCTCTTCCCTCTCCCTCTCCCTCTCCCTCTCCCTCTCCCTCTCCCTCTCCCTCTCCCTCTCCCTCTCCCTCTCCCTCTCCCTCTCCCTCCCCTCTCCCTCTCCCTCTCCCTCTCCCTCTCCCTCTTCCCTCTCCCTCTCCTCTCCCTCTCCCTCTTCCCTCTCCCTCTCCCTCTTCCCTCTCCCTCTCCCTCTCCTCTCCCTCTCCCTCTCCCTCTTCCCTCTCCCTCTCCCTCTTCCCTCTCCCTCTCCTCTCCCTCTCCCTCTCCCTCTCCCTCTCCCTCTTCCCTCTCCCTCTCCCTCTTCCCTCTCCCTCTCCCTCTTCCCTCTCCCTCTCCCTCTCCCTCTCCCTCTTCCCTCTCCCTCTCCCTCTTCCCTCTCCCTCTCCCTCTTCCCTCTCCCTCTCCCTCTTCCCTCTCCCTCTCCCTCTCCCTCTTCCCTCTCCCTCTCCTCTCCCTCTCCCTCTTCCCTCTCCCTCTCCCTCTCCCTCTCCCTCTTCCCTCTCCCTCTCCCTCTCCCTCTCCCTCTCCCTCTTCCCTCTCCCTCTCCCTCTCCCTCTTCCCTCTCCCTCTCCCTCTCCCTCTCCTCTCCCTCTCCCTCTTCCCTCTCCCTCTCCTCTCCCTCTCCCTCTTCCCTCTCCCTCTCCCTCTCCCTCTCCCTCTTCCCTCTCCCTCTCCCTCTTCCCTCTCCCTCTCCTCTCCCTCTCCCTCTCCCTCTTCCCTCTCCCTCTCCCTCTCCTCTCCCTCTCCCTCTCCTCTCCCTCTCCCTCTTCCCTCTCCCTCTCCTCTCCCTCTCCCTCTCCTCTCCCTCTCCCTCTTCCCTCTCCCTCTCCTCTCCCTCTCCCTCTTCCCTCTCCCTCTCCTCTCCCTCTCCCTCTTCCCTCTCCCTCTCCCTCTTCCCTCTCCCTCTCCCTCTTCCCTCTCCCTCTCCCTCTCCCTCTTCCCTCTCCCTCTCCTCTCCCTCTCCCTCTTCCCTCTCCCTCTCCCTCTTCCCTCTCCCTCTCCCTCTTCCCTCTCCCTCTCCCTCTCCCTCTTCCCTCTCCCTCTCCCTCTCCTCTCCCTCTCCCTCTTCCCTCTCCCTCTCCCTCTTCCCTCTCCCTCTCCTCTCCCTCTCCCTCTTCCCTCTCCCTCTCCCTCTCCTCTCCCTCTCCCTCTCCCTCTCCCTCTCCCTTCTCCCTCTCCCTCTCCCTCTCCCTCTCCCTCTCCCTCTCCCTCTCCCTCTCCCTCTCCCTCTCCCTCTCCCTCTCCCTCTCCCTCTCCCTCTCCCTCTCCCTCTCCCTCTCCCTCTCCCTCTCCCTCTCCCTCTCCCTCTCCCTCTCCCTCTCCCTCTCCCTCTCCCTCTCCCTCTCCCTCTCCCTCTCCCTCTCCCTCTCCCTCTCCCTCTCCCTCTCCCTCTCCCTCTCCCTCTCCCACTCTCAGTCCCAGTCTCACTCCCACTCTCACTCGCATCCCCCTTCCTTCACTCTTTCACTCTTTCACTCTCTCACTCTTCTACTCATCCACTCTTTCAAATCAGTCACAGCTCAATTTGATATAAAATACAAACCAGAAAAAAATGCCGAGTAATCTATTTATGAATGACATAGCATGAAAAGGTAAATCATATTCGTTTATTAGTCTCGTTGATTACAAGTGTCATAGCCAAGTTGCAGAAATGTAAATCAGACATGATACACCAGGTCACGGGAGGTCAATTTGCAAGAGTGAATGTGGAGAGGAATGTTTGCAAAGGTAACTCTTGCTATATTTTCATCTTACGAGGGATATCAGATTAAAAAAGAAAAAGATGAAAAAATATTGGATGGTATTTCTGGTAATAATAGCGATTATGACCGTGGTAATGCTGAAGGTGATGTAGATAGTATGATATAATAACAGTATCATTAGCAATGGAAAAATGGTCTTTAATGCTATGGTGACGACCGTGAAGGTGTTTTTCAAAGAGGAGGAAACAGGGGATTGGGAGAACAATAATAAGTAGGTGGTCTTTCGCAATCATTAGCCACAGACAGTTCTAAGAAGACAATAGCCTTATGATATTTACCTTTAATTTTATTATCACCTACACATCCCTCCAGTTTCCCTTATTAATATCCATCATTAACATTAGCGGAAACATCGATTTTTTTTCCCATTTAATACACACATACGCCCATACACTAACAAGGCCACCCACTCACTCACACACAAAGACACACACACACATACATACATGCATAGATAGATTGATAGACAGACAGACAGACAGACAGACAGACAGACAGACAGACAGACCGACAGATAGATAGATAGATAGATAGATAGATAGATAGATGGATAGATAGATAGATAGATAGATAGATATACACACACACACACACGTCCCCGTCCCACATACATATACATATACATATATACATATGTATATATATATATATATATATATATATATATATATATATATATATATATATATACATATATATATATATATATATATATATATTCCTTCTCTGTAAAACAGAACGCGTAATTTAATTAGCCAGTTACGAACAAAAATACACCTGATCTTACCTCTCTCCTTCCTGACTCCAAAAGATGAAAGACTCTGTACCTCTCTATTGTCTCTCTTGAGCGAATATGGCTCAATGGATCTTCCTCCTGTCTTTGTTCCTCATCCCCCTCTCTTTCTCTCTTTCTCTGTCTCTTTCTGCGTCTGTGTCTCTGGTTTTTGATATCTCTGTCTCTCACTCTGTTTTCTTATTTGTCTCTGTCCTTGTCTCTGTAGCTCTCCCTTTCTATTTGTGTCTCTGTCTTTCCTCTGTCTGTCTGTCTGTCTGTCTCTCTCTTTAACCTATCCGTTCCTTCCCCCTTCGTTCTCCCACTTCTCCTTCGCTCTCACCCCCCCCTCTCTTCTCCAACTATTGTCTACATGTTTAATTCCAGTATCTCTCGCTATTAATTCCCCTCACCGTCTTTATCTATCTACTCATCTATTCACCCCTCCTCACTATCTTTTCTCTTTTATCTATCTTCTTCCCCTTCCTCTTTTCCGGCTTCGTTCTCTCACTTTGTCATATTTTCTCATTTTCTCTCATTTTCTCCTTTACTTTTATGCACTTCCCTGCCTTTTACATTAAATTATCAATCTCTCTTTGTGATATCCTTCTTTTCTTCATTTATGAGTGTGTGTGTGTGTGTGTGTGTGTGAGTTTAAATTTAGTACATGTAAATAGTCGTTATATCACTAAATAATGTTAGACGACGTTTACTATTACCGGTATGTGGGATTTCTCCGTGATGTTTTCAGCAAGAGTAAGCTACCTCTCTGTTTTTTTTCTCATCACTCTTTCCCTCTCCCTCTCCCTCCCTCTCTCCCTCTCCCTCTCCCTCCCTCTCTCCCTCTTTCTCTCCCTCTTTCTCTCTTGCATTATTTCTCTTTATCTCTATCCCATTCTGTCTCCTCCTCTCTTCTATCTACATCCCTCCCTTCTCACTCTTCCTCTTTCTTACCCTCTCTTTATCCCTCTCTCCCTCTTTTCTTTCCCCTTTCCCCTCCACCCCCAGCAGT